GCCTGAAATAAAATAGATTCATCCCTGGCCTTAGACTCTGTCTCAAAAAAAAAAAAAAAAAAAGAGGTGAAGTGGGGCACCAGGCAGTATATCACAGAAGGAACTTGGGCAAAGGGGGACCAGATGGAGACCCAGTTATTCAACAGTCAGGGGCTCGGGGACAAGAAAACTGGAAACAGCCCAGTTATTGGAGCTGGAGCACCAGTTCAGAACAGGACCATTCTCCAGGTTGTCCTGGTTGAGTCACTGAGCTGCTAGCCTTGATTCCTAAAATTTGTCCTTGGTCCTAGCACTTGGGTGGGACTGAGCCTGCGGGCACAGGCCAAGTGACTCTAGCCGTGGGCATTGAAAGGCGTGTGGGGACAGAGGACCCAACAAGGAACTCTGAGGACGTACAGGCGAGGGGGAAGGCCAGTCAATACAACTGCTTGCCAGGCTGCTGCACGGCCGTTCTCAGATCACGTCACTGGCGTGGAGGTCTGTGAAGCACTGGTAAACACCTGGTGCGTGAACTCACTCAAACCAAACTTGCTCTTATTTAGGTCCAAGAGAAAGCTACTCGGCTGGAAGGAGCCTGGTGAGACCTTTGCCTGCAGCAGACAGAGCTCCCACTCTCCGATAAAGAACACGGCTGAGTCTCCGATCAGTGAGTCGGCTGCCACCGCAGGGTCGGGCAGCAGTGCCAACCTAGATGCTGGCAGAAATGATGATTTCAAGGCCTTGCTACAGAAGAAGGGAAGCAAGGCAACTCCAAAATCCCGCCCCTCAGCAGCCGAACTGCTGAAGACCACTAATCCACTGGCTCGGAGAATTATTGCACAATTTTCAAAAGACTATGAAACCACTGATAACCCTAGTACCTAAGCCCTGGGTTCAACAAGCGGGGTTTACTTACTAAACTTGGGTAGAGAAGGGGAAAGAGAAAAGGTTTTAAAAAGGAACCTTGGGAATAACAACAGAGCCTACATTTCTATCACATTAACTCACATTCTGGGCGGCAGGAGAGAGGCCGCCTCATCTAGAGCTAAAGTCATCAGGCACTTAATCATCTCGAGACACTTTACATTTTCATACTTACAGTCTTGCCTTGACTGACTCCCGAGTTTCTTCTTCTTTTCCCCCAGTGGTGCGCACTAACTCAGAAGTTCTCAGATGTGAGGGCACATGTGCCACCTTTTCCGTCAATGACCCGGCTGCTCCATCCCTGGCTCCTGTCACTGAGGGGCGCAGTGTGAGAGCAGATTGGGGGCTGCCAAACCTGGGGGCATAGGGTGCCATTACTGATAGCTCCCTTTCCTGGGGAGGCCCTGACGGCCTGTGTGGAGATACAGAAAGACTCTGATGCCTCCTCAGCCCCAATTTAACTTCCCCTCCACATAGGAGAGGTTTGCAAGCGTGCACTTATTTTGGCATGGGGTTGATTGGATGGCTTTTGTGGTGCAAATTATGAATGTGACTCTGTGCTGAAACTTCATGCCTTTTTCAGCTTGATTGTCTACACGGAGATCAGGGTGATGAGTTTCAATAAACATATAGGATCCCCCCCACCCCATCGCCATTAGTTAGAAAAGGCCTGGACCAGGTTGCTTGGGATGAACCAAGCTCAGCCAACAAAGAAGACAGTCATTTGTTCACTCAGATCTAGCCAAGGTAACTCGTGCGTGCGCCTTGAGATCCTTCAAGAGTCTGTCAACAGCGGTAGCCAGGATCTGTGCCCAGCTCATGCTGTATTCTAAGAACTCTCATTTCATTTGCATATAACCCTCATTACAGGAAGTAGTTAGCTGAAGGAACAGCATCATCAAAGGCTCAAGGAAGATAGAAAGTAAGTGCACCTTGCCCCTCACCATTCGATTCAGATCGTGGTTTGTGGTTGGTTTTGTTCCAAAAACCAAGTACACTTAAACTAAAAGGATCTATCCAAAATCTAAAAGGCAGCCTTGCAAGTTGCTATGGCCCACAACACCAAAAAAAAAAAAAAGGGCTACTTTTTGTCATTTAGGTTCTGCTGTTTGACCAACTTTCAATTAAGTGCGCTGGGGCAGACCTCCAGAACAGCCACTGCGATCCCTCCGCCCCCAAAGCTCATAGGCGCTAACTATTCTTGTCAGCTCGATTACCTAAGCAGAGCAAGAGCAGTGATTCATTTGATTTTCATATGCCTGATTTCTGAGAGGTTGGGGGGAAGACAGACAAAGCATTGAAGAAAGAAAACCTGCTGACCAGTGATGGCAAGCTAATTGTCTACCATCCCAAGAGGCAAAAAGAGAAGTCAAGTGAAATTGTAGCCTGCCTCACAAAGAGAGTTCCCCGACCCCTTCCTACTTCACCCCCCACCCAACAGATTCATTGGTCAACCTCCTGGAGGACGCAGTAAGAGTTCCAGAGACAAGCAGATCTCCATATCCATAGGTCGTGTTGCTCACTGATGAGAAGCAAGCTCTTAGCTCAACTGCCCGCACTCCAGCCGGACAGAGAAGCCGAAAAACAACACCGAGTACTGAGAAGATTGGGGCCTCTCACACAGAGAAGCGCTAGGCCTAGGCCCTTGGTTGGTACAGTTTGAATTCGAGACTTCTGGGAACAGGCCAGGCCTATTGCTCCCTTGCAATCAGCACTTCCTCTGATTTAGAAAGAAACCACTTAAAATAATAAACAGCTAGTGAAAGCCCAGTTGCTTTGGAAAGTATTGGAACTACTTGGTTTGAAGGTCTTCAACAAATTTCACAGATTTTTGCCTGAAATAAAATAGATTCATCCCTGGCCTTAGTTCATATATGAATTCCACCTTGCCTGCCCCAGACTCAGAATTCCAAAAGACAGAAACATTTTCCTCGGTAGGGAAATGAAGGAGTGTTTGTGCTTTTACTTAACAAAAGTGAAAGGCTACCAGGGCCTGCTCCTTGGGAACCATTACGACTAGCTGAACTCTAAAGCTGAGTATGGGACTCATAGTGTAGGACTTGTTACTTCTGCTGATTTTTCTGGAAGCTTCTCGTTTACTACTTCTAGTGGGTTGTGCCTCTCCCCTGACCTTGCTGCCTCTGGAGGTTTCCCCCAATATTCTAAAGCTGAATGCCCAGACGCTTTTCTGTTTTTCAATTACCTTGATTCTTGCTTTCTTGTACAATACTCTGTATGCCCCGAATCTTTATGAACATCTTCTACATCGTCACTATGGCCCTCAAATGCCCAGTGGTGTTCCCATTAGCACAACAGGATTTGGGGCAGAGTGTACGGTCAGAGATAACATTTAGGACTGGAAATATTCATTTAATATTTTGCAACAGGTGGACCTAGTCCCAAACAACCAAACTGTGAAACTTCCGCCAGTCATTGATTAACAGAACCCCAAGCACCTTTCCTACGCCTAATGCTCCACCTCTCTCCTACCCTTGATTCTTGCAACACCAACTCTCTCTCCCACCCAGGCACTTACCACAACATCTGCTGCCTTCTGCAGCTACTCTGCCAAGACTGGAGGACGGAGACTGAAAGGCCCTCCCAGGAAGGCTTGCAGAGAACCTACTGCTATGGCTAGTACTAGTACGAAGAATAATGATAATACTTTTTAAAGGCAGAATAGAGAAGAGGTTCAAGTGAAACGAAGTTGGGCCCCAGGAGGTCAGCTTCCATTTCAAGTTGGTCCTAATCCCCCTTTCCCCTCTGATTCCAACCAATAGTAGCAGATGGCCCTGCTAGACTGACTTCCATCTGCTCAGAAATAGAGGGAGCGAGCCCCAGAAGAGGAGGTAAATTGGCAACTAAAGGTGCTTTGCGCTTAGTAGGTATTCAGTACATGTTTGTGGTTCAAATATTGAGGGTAGAGAGCAAGTTATTCTTAGAACAGCAGCAAGCTTGGCTGGTGTCTCCTTTTGTCTGCTTGTACTACTTGGCCCACCTCAGCCTCCCACCTGGCCCCACCTGGTTCCTCAGCCCCCGTCTGCAGGAACTGCGTCCCTAACCAACAGCTCACCCGTAAAGGAGGTGAGACAACAGGCGGCAAAATAGTTCCCATCAGCTTAATCACCACAAATTGACCAGCTGATCTGGAGAACTTACCTTGAACGTGCAAAGACAGAGGAGATCCTACCGGGCTCTTCTAACAAGCATTTCACCTGGCATCCATGTCAACTGTCTAGACGACACAGATCCGATTACAGTCTCTCCGTACCTGCGGTCTCAGCCAGATCTGTCCGTGCACCCGCCCTCTTCCTCATAAATGAACTAGTCGGGGAAAAGACGAGTTCATGCTTAGTGCTCTGCTCCTCATTCATTCAGCCTTCCGTTCTCATCCAGTCTGTGACATGATGGTGAGCTTTCACTTTCATATGATTTGCCAGGGCCAGGACTAGGGTGAGGTGAGCGAGGCGCCTAGCGTGCCAGCTTCGAGGAGGCGCCCACTCTCAGGGCCGTGCAAGTGCCTTACCCTCGTCCCAGCCCTGTGATTTGCACTCTGTAGAGTAGTATGTTTAGCTTCTCTTCCTGTGAACAAGTGTGGTCCCTCTGATTTGGGGGGGTAACTCCCTATCTGTTGTTGCACCAAATGTTTTCTTGCTATCTATTTTTCCATTGCTGTAAGCCTTTGTATGCCTATACATTAAAGAATCTTCAATAGTATCAGAAAACATAGCGGATTTCTAAGTCACCTGCTCCAAATGGTAATTTAGCACCCATTTCAGTAGGAGTGCCCACAGGGACAGCCCCCCGGCAAAGGAGTGAACGAGTGGGAGGTCTGTCACCGTGGTCCTGTCTCCTCTTTCTGTTCCATTCTCCCCAGACCTCGCTTCCCAGCACCACCTCTCCTCAGTGCCTCCTACTTTGTTCTCCTCCTCTCTAAGAAAAACATGCTCTCAGGAAAGGGGAAAATTCATTTACTATGAGATTATGGCTTATGCTTAATGCTACCTCTTTTGAGGGTCACTTGCATTTTAACAGGGGAAAAGCCTTAAGCCAAAGGAATGAAGTTCTACTTGCAGAATGTTAGGCATCAACTAGTTGTAGAAGTGTATTTTTCACCACAGGAAGGCCAAATTCCCTGATGGCTAACTCCAGAATATAGAAAGTACCTTAATCTCCTGGAATCATTTCAGTTCATAGCTGATGGTCAGTTAAATTGTCCTGATACCCAGTGCTCTTCAATGTGGTTACTACCAAGGGACTCTCAGAAATGGCTACTCAAAGCCACTGAAAAGGCCTAGATCGTTCATATTGTACATTACCATTTTTACATAAGTGGAATTAATGCTACTTACCATTTGAGTAAAAGAACACAAGGATATAAAGAGTTTGTGAAAATGTGCCCTGTTTGTGAAAGGTGAAACTGTCCGATCCACGTCCGATCAATGTCAGTCGTCCGGTATTGGTGGTGATTATTAAACTTGTTGGAGACACAACTTTCCCGAACACAAGACTGCTTCCCCCACTTTATCCGTGAAGCTGTCACTTCAGCTTGGTGTGACAATGAGACCATATCTATACCAGAGCCCCCAGGCCTTCCAAAGCCTTGGCATGTATTTCAGCTATGAGTGATGAAGATATTAGGGATTTAAAAGGACAAGAGAGTGGGAAAGAGGTACAAAGAAGTGCCTTTGTCAACGGGCAACAAAAAGTATAATGATTTAAAACATGATATGAAACAAGCAAAGTTTTAGCATACTTTGAAACAGATTTGTAGAAGAATACAGTAGCAAATGCTTATAGACACACATTTGGGGTGTTTTTAATAAGTTTAGAAAAAAGAAATGTGCATGAGTAACATTAACTAGGTACATACTTTTGTTCAGTAAAGCCCAAAATCTAGGGCAGTGGTTCTCAAAGTGTGGTCCTGGAACCAGCAACGGCAGCACCCCTGGAGCGTGTGTGTGTGTGTGTGTGTGTGTGTGTGTGTGTGTGGTGTGCGCGCGCACACGTGCATTCCAGTAACATTACTCTTCAAGCCACTGAATCACTATAGCCACGACTCTCCAAACGATTCCAAACTTTCCCCTTGTTCTGGCTGTCATTACAGTGATCAGCCTCTGGCCAAGAGGTATATATTGTCGTCTTGGTCGGGCATACTTTTGTTTGGTTTTCAGAAATTGTCAAATTGAGTCAACCACTTGCTCAACCTGCAAAACCTTTGATTGGACTTAACCAGCACATCTGGCCTGGTTTTGGTTAAATTTCTTTTAACTCACAAAT